CCTTTGGCTCAAGAAAATTGTGTTGAAATAATTAAATATGATTTTAGAACTCAAGTTCATCAGAGCCTTTCATTTTACAAATGAGGAAATTGATTTAGCATTGAGCTGCAAGATATTAGACATAATTTCATTTATAAGCAGTTTTATAAAAAGTTTACTCAGGTATTATAAATATTTCCTTTTACCCTGCAAAGCCTTTCTTTAGTGTTTGTATGTATTAAATGCATGTTACTTATTTATTTTATGGGGGAATTAAAATCTGAAGGAACCTTGAATTGTAAGAACTAGTTTTACTTAACTGGTTAATTTCTAATACTTTTAAGCTAAAATCACAGTAGACACATAGCAATTTTATTGTTTGCACATATATTCTAAACTTCTTGGAGAATAAAGAAACATGCATATTAATTACCTGGTAGGACATATGTTAGAAGAACTTTGGGTTTGATCTGCTCTCTTCTAACTAAACTCATGGTACTGCAGTAACTACTTTCCACATGAAAGGTTGAGAGCATTAAAATGTGGACATGAGCATAGCCAGCTATGCCTAAACACCCAAAGGGATGGATTAAAGTCATCTGTTGTAGTACTTTCACTTAAGCATTCATTATAATTCAGCACAGAGCTTTGAAATGGAAATGAGGAATGGGGAACTATGCATAGAGGAAGGGTGGAGGTGACAGAAGGTTATATGTTATTAAAACCTTTTTCTTTTTTTTTTTTCCTTTTTCTTTTATTATTCATATGTGCATACAAGGCTTGGTTCATTTCTCCCCCTACCCCCACCCCTCACCTTACCGACCGTCCACTCCGCCCCCTCCCTCTCCTCCCCCCTCAATACACAGCGAAAGCTATTTTGCCCTTATTTCTACTTTTGTTGTGAGAGAGTAATAAGCAATAACGGAAGGGACAAGGGTTTTTTGCTGGTTGAGATAGATAGCTATACAGGGCATTGACTCACATTGATTTCCTGTGCGTGGGTTTAATTCTTTTTGATCTAACCTTTTCTCTAGTACCTGTTCCCCTTTTCCTATTGGCCTCAAGTTGCTTTTAAGGTATCTGCTTTAGTTTCTCTGCATTAAGGGCAACAAATGCTAGTTAGTTTTTTAGGTGTCTTACCTATCCTCACCCCTCCCTTGTGTGCTCTCGCTTTTATCATGTGCTCATAGTCCAATGCCCTTGTTGTGTTTGCCCTTGATCTAATGTCCACATATGAGGGAGAACATATGATTTTTGGTCTTTTGGGCCATGCTAACCTCACTCAGAATGATGTTCTCCAATTCCATCCATTTACCAGCGAATGATAACATTCATTCTTCTTCATAGCTGCAAAAATAAATTCCATTGTGTATAGATACCACATTTTCTTAATCCATTCGTCAGTGGTGGGGCATCTTGGCTGTTTCCGTAACTTGGCTATTGTGAATAGTGCCACAATAAACATGGGTGTGCAGGTACCTCTGGAGTAACCTGTGTCACAGTCTTTTGGGTATATCCCCAAGAGTGGTATTGCTGGATCAAATGGTAGAATCGATGTCTAGCTTTTTAAGTAGCCTCCAAATTTTTTTCCAGAGTGGTTGTACTAGTTTACATTCCCACCAACAGTGTAAGAGGGTTCCTTTTTCCCCGCATCCTCACCAACACCTGTTGTTGGTGGTGTTGCTGATGATGGCTATTCTAACAGGGGTGAGGTGGAATCTTAGTGTGGTTTTTAATTTGCATTTCCTATTGCTAGAGATGGTGAGCATTTTTTCATGTGTTTTTGGCCATTTGAATTTCTTCTTTTGAAAAGTTCTGTTTAGTTCACTTGCCCATTTCTTTATTTGGTTCATTAGTTTTGGGAGAATTTAGTTTTTTAAAGTTTTCTCTATATATTCTGGTTATCAGTCCTTTGTCTGATGTATATGTTTTGGCAAATATTTTCTCCCACTCTGTGGGTGTTCTTTTCAAGTTTAGAGACCATTTCTTTTTGATGAAACGAGCACTTTTTAGCTTTATGAGGTCCCATTTATCTATGCTATCTCTTAGTTGCTGTGCTGCTGGGGTTTTCATTGTGAAAGTTCTTAACCTATACCTACTAACTCCAGAGTATTTCCTACTCTTTCCCTGTATCAGCTTAAGAGTTTGTGGTCTGATATTAAGATCCTTGATCCATTTTGAGTTAATCTTGGTATAGGTGATATACATGGATCTAGTTTTCAGTTTTTTGCAGACTGCTACCCAGTTTCCCAGCAGTTTTTGTTGAAGAGGCTGCTATTTCTCCATCATATATTTTTAGCTCTTTGTCAAAAGACAAGTTGGTTATAGTTGTGTGGCTTCAATCTGGGTCTCTATTCTGTTCCACTGGTCTTCATGTCTGTTTTGTGCCAGTACCAGCTGTTTTTATTGTTATTGCTTTGTAATATAGTTTGGAGTCAGGTATTGTGATACCTCCTGCATTTTCTTTTGACTGAATATTGCCTTGGCTATTCGTGGCCTCTTGTGTAAAACCTTTTTCTTTACAACATTGTAAAACTATTGTATACAAAAACAAATAAACAAAAAAACCCCAAAACTTATGAGGCTTCTTTCCAAGCTTGGCTGAAAGATTTAGTTGTAAGAGTTGTGCCTTAGACATCTCTTTCATAGTTGACTGAAAGTAGAGCCCCTGAAGTTTGGCATTTATGTGGCCATCATGTCCTGAATGGAAAGGATCCTTTTTTCTCTTCTCTTTTCTCCAGTGTGTTAGGCAGGTTGGTCTTTTTTGTCTCCAGGGATGAATTGATCTTAAAACAGGGGCCCTTCAGGGTGCTTAGTTAAAAAAATTGCATATACTTTTATTTCTTATTAGAAATGATTGCTATTTCATCATACTATAGGCTTGGTTCTCTTTCTTTCTTTCTCCTTGCTTATTACATTGTCCAAAGCTCATCTAGTTAGCAGACATCTGGGTTTCAAAGCTTCGAAATGTGCAGAATTCATTTGTTTAACTGTGACTTTTATAGATTGCATATCATAACATGTATATTACTCCATGATGCTCTCATGTAAGCCCTTCAAATTATCACTGGGTTTTTGTTGTTGTTGTTTTATTTTTGTTTTGCAGTGCAGGGGATCAAACTGAGGGCCTTACTATACATGGTAGGCAAGCGCTCTACCATGGAGCTACATTCCCAGCCCTCTTCAGTTGTTTTTTTCTTAATAGTAACTATATTTCTTATTCTTTAAATTTTTGGTTTATAGAACCAAATCTTTTGCATGGATGAAGCGTAAAAACCATGGAGATTTTCTAATGGAATTCAATTACTTCTTAATTTATGGTTCTTTTTATGTTTTCTTTCTTTCTTTTTTTTTTTTTTTTGGCAGCACTGGGGTTTGAACTCAGGGTCTCATGCTTGCTAGGCAGGCACTCTACCATTTGAGCCACTCCACCAGCCTGAATTCAAAGACTTCTTGACTACTATAGTGAATATTTAAAGGGCAACATTATAAATTAATTGGATGCACACAGCCCCATCACTACCACTATCGCCTCCCAAATCTGATAGGAGAGTAACATTTGTTTATTTCTTAAAGATTAACCTGTAGTATGTTTTAATTATCCTAATCCATTGTAGGCTAGCAGAAAATATCCCAGTTAATCAAGGTCTCAAGGCAGGGTGGTAGTAGATTAGTATGGTTTATCAGTTTTCTCAGAGTTTTGCTTGCCTGTAAGCTAATTTCTTTCAAGTTTGGGGCATGTGCTCACTTGCATGACAGTGTGTTGGGTATATGGAATTAAAATTCGGTTCATGGGCTGTGCTAAAGTATATCTGGGCCACTGTGTCTGATTCCTGGAAATTTGTGGCGATTTTGCAGAGGTAACATGCTATTTCCTCACCCTGCATACTTCTACATATTGGCAAAGATGATATTTTGGGCAGCAGCAACCTATGCTAATGGGTTATTGTCCTCTGGCAGTAAGTTAGCAAGCCTTTTAAACTATGTTGCTAATTCGTGGAATTAATAACTTCACTTGGTATTTACTTGAGTAAAAATGATTTTTATAACAACTTTATTGAGATATGATTCATACACCATACAGTACAGTTCACCTACTTAAAATGTATGAGTCAGTGGTTTTTAGTATATTCAAAGAACTGTGCAGGTGTAATCATAATTGATTCTAGAACAGTTTCAGCAGTCCAGAAAGAAACCCCATACCCATTAACAGTCATTTTCCACTTGCTTCCTATGCCCTCCTCCCCCCACCTCAGCCCTAGGCAACCACTAATCTACTTTCTGCCTCTATTGATTGCTTGTTCTGCACATTTCATGTAAGTGGGCTTGTATAAAATGTGGTCTTTTGTGTCTGGTTCTTTCACTTAGCATAATGTTTCAAAGGTTCATCCATGTTGTCTCATATGTCAGTACTTCATTCTTTTTATTGCCCAAACTTTTTTTTTTAAGCTTATTTTGGTATTTTTCTTTCCCTTAACTGCTCTTCCCATTTTTATTATTAAATTAACTCTAAAGTCTTTGGTCACAGTTCTTATGATTTCAGAGAGTAAGCCAGTTCATTTCTATAAGCCAGTTCATTTCTATATCCAGCTATCATCTGCATGATCCTAGAGAATATGTCACAGTTGACTTACACCTTACAAGAGAAGGGTGAGATTTTTTAAAAAATGTTTTCAGAAAATAGCTGCTGCCAGTGGCATGCCCAGCTGAACAGGCGTATCATTATCACTAAAAAACTAGTCCATTTCATTGGAGTTGGTATCATTAGCATTTCTTTACATCTGTAATGTTTAGGTCATTGCTAGGCTTTCATTGGTGACACTTCACTAGGAAGTACCACGTTATTAGAAATGAAATTCCCAGTCTACCCATTGCTTGTAGGTCTGTAAACATCAAAGTATATGAAAGATGAAGTTCTGTTGTCAGTTACAGCGTTTATATCGATATTTAAGAAGGCTTACATACTCTGTTTTAATCTTTTTTCTTTTTGTTTATTATTTTTGGGTGTATGACTTCATCAGGATCCTTTGAAAAGCAGTTCATGCAAAAGGTTAGTATCCCCTTAATAGACTTCTTGTACTCTACATAATGCTGTAAATATACATGGATAACATAACTTAGGAGTACAGTTGACAGTTAATTCTTTTTTTTTTTTACCAAAATCATCACAAATTTAGTAGTATTTAGATATTAGTAAAATTAATTTATAGTTTCAACCCTTTTGAATAATCCAAAGGTTCATGCATTGAGTTACTTTTAAATCTCATTGTGACATAAATTGGAATCACACTCAAGAAAAAGCCAGTGTACCTAAACACTTAACTGTCATTGTGCCCCAAGTATCTGCAGTTCAGCCCAGTTACATGACTTTCATTTAAAACTGAATCTCCATACAATCACTCTGTAGGTAGGTTGTTATTACATTTTACTGGAGAAAAATTATTAGTCATATTTAATAATTTTGGTTTTTTTCAAAGGTTTTCTTGCAATATGTCCCTTGCAGTAATGTTAGTAATACAGTATTACTAGCTTCAAAAAGTATAAATATCCGCCCCCTAAGTGTTTCTATTTGAGATGACTGTGAAATCTTGGCTTGTAAAAAATCTTCATAGATATTATGGCTAACTATCTGTTCTGTCTTTTGGAGATTTCAAAGCATTTCCAACAAAGAGAAAATACCATTTTTTTTAACCCATAAAAGTATTGAGTCTTATTTGAAGTAAAAGGCAGTATAAAAAAGTACAAATTAGCTGGGGGAGCATGGCTCAAGTGGTAGAATGCCTGCCTACCAAGCTCAAGTCCTTGAGTTCAAACATCAGTACCACCATAAAAAGAAAAAATGCAAATTAGCCAGGTGTGATGGTGCATGTCTGTAATCCCAGAACTCAGGAGGCTGAGGCAGGAAGATTGAAGGTTTGAAGCCAACTTGGGCTACAGCAAAACCTTGTCTCAAAAAAATTTTTTAAGTACAAATTATTAGAAAATTCAGTTTCCTGAATACTAAGAACTCAATCAAATGCTGAGTCACAGACTTGCAATAGATTTTTGATACATATAAGACTGATTGCAGCCAGACATCGGTGGCTTACACCTGTAATCCTAGTTATTCAGGAGGCAGAGATCAGGAGAATTGCAGTTTGAAACCAGCCTGGGCAAATAGTTTGCAATACCCTATCTCGAAAATACCCATCACACACATACAAAAGGAGGGGCTGGCAGAGTGGCTCAAGGTGAAGGCCCTGAGTTCAAGCCCCAGTACTGCAAAAAAACCAAACCAAAACAAACAGAAAAACCCCAACTGATTACAAACTATCATGCAGAATACATTAGGATTGCTGCAAATCAATTTTTAAAAAATAACTCAGTACAATGTGAGAAAAAGACAAGCTTAAGCACTTCACAGAAGAGGAAACATAAATGTAAGCATGTGGAAAAGGGCTTACTGTCATTCATCAGCAGAAATACTAATTAAAATTGACACCTACTAGATTTGAAAATATTTTAAATTCTGAAAATCAGAAGGCTTGGTTATGAAGTGTATTACCAAGACTCATATGCACTCCTAGGTACATTCACTTTGTAAAGCATTTTGGTATTATCTAGTAAAGTTGACAATATGAGTAACTTTTGACACAACAATTCCACTTTTAAGGATATACTTAATGGAAATGTGTGCACAAGCTGGGTGAGGTGGTGCATGCCAGAGTCCCAGCAATTTGGAAGTCTGAAGTAGGAGGATCACTTGGGTACATGAGTTTAAGTTTAAGACCAGCCTGGTCAACATAGTAAGGACATTTCTCTCTCTCTCTCTCTCTCTCTTTCTCTTGGTCTCTGTCTCATACATATACAAAATAATAATAATAACAAAAAGTAAGTGTGTACAAATATACCAGGAAATACATATAAGAATGTTCATAGCAAGTTGGGCATGGTAGTTATTGGAAGCTGTAAGTAGGAGGATCATAGTCCATGGCTGGCCCTGGGGAAAATCACAAGACCATATATATATATACATGTATATATATATATATATATACATGTATATATATATATATATATACATGTATATATATATACACACACACACACATATAGTAATGTTCATAACAACATTGTTTAAGACATTCAAACACTAGAAGTAATGCAACTATCTATTCATTAATAAAATGAATAAATTTTAGTGTATTTATTTAGCAGAATACTACAAAGCAGTAAAAGTAAATGAATCACAACTGTGTGCAGTAACTACATGCAATAACCTGGATGAATCTCTTAAGAAGAAAATTCTGTCCTCTGTGGGAAGTTATTGTTGAACCTAAATCTCCTTTAGTGCAATATAAATAAATGTGCTTTCTCCATATCTCTGCTCAGTGGCAGTTAAATAATAGGAAAGATTATATGAAGTTTGGTGGTCAACCATTCTGTCTTTTGTGCTGAAGAAATTTCCTTCTGTGTTTTCTCAAGGATCCTACCTCTGGACTTGAGTCTTTTATGGTTACACTTAAAGAAGTCTGAATCCATTTCTGTTGTGGGGAGATTACTTGAAAGTTCTAGTGTACCATCTTGCTGTTACATATGCCATCTTGATTGTTTTGTTTTGTTTTGTTTTTTTAAAACAAAGCTGTGTGGCCTACATTCTCAACTTGTTCAGAGTAGCTTTCTGCCATTCTTCGGTGTACAAAGTCCTAGGCAAGTTTAGGCAAAGAGAATCATTTTTGTTATGAACCTCAGTTAGTTTTATTGGCTTGGAAACTTTTTAATACCAAGACTGGGTATGTCTTAAGTAGAGGGGCAGCTAGGTTATTTGGATCATAAAAGAATTACACCTTAAAACTAGCAGTGCTGATGACCTCTATTAAAGAAGAATTATTTTAAGGAGAATGATTGCTGTTCTGAAATACTTAAGGAATGTCACCTGTAATACTTAAGCCAATGCCTTATGCTTAACTTTCTTCAGAACTGTTGATATGTTCTTTGTGTGTATGTCTGTGTGATAAAAGCAGTTAAGTTTCCCAAGGTAGATCTTGTGCACATAAATATTAAGATGTAAATGCTGGAAGACAGTGAACATTTAGTATAAAGTATTCATGACTTCGTTGCTTTTTCCCCCTACTTCTAGTTGCTGGGCATATTGGATTGTCCCCATCGTAGGCGCTGTTCTCATAGGTTTCCTGTATCGTTACTACATGGCGGAAAGCAGATCCTCCTGAGGAGACCTTGTTGAAGTCTGGGCACACATCTTTTTGGGAGTGAAAAGTAGAGACTTGCTTTGGGGGCTACAGCAGTGCCCCCTCCTCGAATCCTGCCAACTGTCTTCTTCCCCCTTGGAGCCAAGATGATTGATCAGATATCCACCTCTAATCTGGGATCAGTGTTCTTCATCTCCCAGAGCCTTACTCCCAAAACACCTGCTCACCATTCTTCGTCCTTTCCAGGATTTCTTCTCTTCACTGGTTTCCACAAGTTTATGATAATGATTGTGGTTCTTATGTTGTAGTGACATTGCTCTTTGGTTAGAAAAAATGCCTAATTTCCAATACTTTGAATGCACATTAGACATTCTTAACAGGGCAGCACTCTGATTTTGAAACTTTTTCTTTTAAGTAAATTTTTTTAAATTCTGGCTTAATTCTATTACTTGTCCTAAGTTCATGAAGTTAAGGTGCATTCTAATTACTTAATACACAGTTGCCAAATGGTCTTGTTCTTTCTTTATGTTTATGTTTGTTAAAACTAAGAGGAAGTATGTGGTTATCTCCTCCCTTCCAGGCTAGTGGCACTGGTAGCTCTTTGCACCCCTGAGTCCAGCCATGTTTCTTCCCAAAGGAGCTGGACAAACCTCTGCTTCCCTTTGATTTTTTTGTGGGTGGAAGAGCCAATGGAGGGAGGAATGAATTGGCATGGCAGAACCCTGGCACATTCAAAATAGTCTTTCTTTTGAAAAATACTGAAAATACTACTTTAAGACAGGAGTTTAGGAAAACCACCAAAGCTTTCTCTTTGGCTTGATACCTGTTTTCCTGAACTATCTTTAATTGATAAAATATAAATGTATAATTATGTCTATAGAGCTTTACCAGGGATTCTTACTATTTTTTTGTCTATTGATAGCAAATTTTTGATTCCCCATTTTACAAAATAAAGAGTTCAGTTTGAGCTTCTGTTTGCCACAGTAAACCAACTTTCATATAAAATGTCATTTGAAAGGGGGAGTTCATAACATGCTACTATTTTCCATTTCATTTGTATTTTACCTCCATGGTTTGAACTTGTGGTTTTGTTTTGCTTTTCCATTGATAATAAAAACAAAACTGGTGGGTTTTTTTTTCCCTTGGATCTGTATGCTTTTTTTTCTTGGAATGTAAAGAAGGTTATTATTTAGAATTATGTTACTGTTTCTTCTTGGTAATGGCATTTCTCTGGCATATTTGATTATTTCTTTTTCCCACCTGAACAGGTAGTATACCAGCTGTTTTCTACAGTACTGTTATTTTTCTCCCCAGGCTTTAAGGATTACCAGTTAGCTTCTGGGCCATTGTCATTTCCAATCCAACAGAAAACAACTGGGTTCAAGAAGGACCATAATTCCTTGCAGTGTCTCCCCCTCCCTTCCATCCCTGGACAGGACAGGAAACTGCCCAGCAAACCAAGAGGCTGCCCATGCAAACTATTTAAGAAAAAGTTCAACCCAGGTCTTGTAGCCTGTGATTTAATAGTTGAACAAATTCAGAATTCATCAAAATAGTATCAGTATGTTTGTTGCATATAATTTGGAGTAATTTCTGTTCTCCTTTTTTTTGGTTGGTGATACTAGGGTTTGAACTCATGGCAGGCGCTCTATTGCTTGAGCCATGCCCCCAACCCTTGGAGTAATTTCTGAATGAATTTTATATATCAGAGATTAGGATTTAGTCAAACTTTTATCTTTAGAAAATGTTTATAATATAAGATAGATTGAAAAACATTTGTTATGTAACAAGTGGCATGACTTAATTTGCCTCCATTTTAAGGCAAGGAAGGGTTGCCTTGAATAAGGATTGGAATGTAATTGCTGTCACAATTAAATTGCATGGTTGCATGGAGTACATTGGGGTAGAGGTAAAGAACAAAGGCGCATTGAAGAGCTGGAAAGGGAACATTCATGCTAAAACTAAGCCAGAAGATAACTTGGTTCAATTGTAAAAGTGTGTTGGCAGAGTCTCTACCATTGAATGAAAAACATCTGACTTAGGAGAAATGTTAAAGAACTATATTTTTAAGTAAAGTTGGTGTTTTTGATATTTCTGGGGTAAACACCAATGCAAAAAGTATGTTTTTCTATTTCTAATTGGTTTTCTTTTCCTATTTATATCTGGGTTTGGTTTTTACTGAGAGCCAGAGACAAAGATTTTCAGACTGTGTCTGCTGTCCATGAAATCCATCCAATATCCGGGGCTTCTTTTGAACTATTGCTGATGTGATGTTACTTTGTATTAAGGAAAGCACTTTCTGGATCCATTTACTATAATCCTGCTGCCTACATAAGCAGCCAGGTGAAAGGTAGATAGATCTTCAGAGAGAGTTTGCAGGCGTTTTTCTAAACAATAAAGTAATACAGCCCAAAAGCCAAATCCATCAAAAAGGACTTTTGTTTAAGAAGTAGCTAGAATTCTTAAAGCAGTCTTGACATTAGTAAGTCGTGAAATCCCCTCTGGAGACCCACAGTGGAGCTAGTCCCTGTTGGCTGACCGTGCTCCCTGGTCTCCGGGGTATTTGTTTGTTGTTTATTCCTGCAGCACACCATACTATACACCTCATGCTAGTGAATACAAAAGGGAAGTCTGTGCCCCCAAAATAGAGGCTCTTAGAGCCAGTTCTCCAAAACTTCCCAGTCCCTGACTTTTAGGAATTAATTTTTCATGTCCAGGTGACTTACTAATTTGTGAAAATGAGAAAGCAATGGGGACAAAGTGTATATGGTGTTTAGGTCTCTGTGACTGCTTAAGCAGAGACAGAAATCCATCAGAACCTATCATTTGAACCTGTTAGGATTTTTTTTGTCCTAAATGCTTATGTTATAAAATAAGAACACTGTTGGGTTTAGGCTCATAGTTCTGATATGGAACGATGAAAAATGCTTTTAATTGCCAGATGTATTATTACTTATGGCATCTCATACTTAAAATCTCAAGCAGTATCTATCTGGTTAAATTCCATTTTAGGAGACTGAAATGCAAAACATTAATGTTCTTTTCCTCGTACCCTAGGAGAAGTGGAGTCAGACATGTCTTGTCTCAACAAGAAATCAATTTTTTAAACCATCCTGTTCTGTTGCCAAGTATCACAAAAGTAATGGGAAGTTTAGTCACATTTGGCTGCTGTGCCCTGAAAAAGCCAGCTTTGGAATTTGTGGGGGTGTTTTTAGAACCTAGAAGGGAGGTTCCAAAGAGGCAGATTTGTCGAATCACCTATCCTAGATCCAGCATCTTACTCATGAGTTTTAGGAGCTGCTCCTTGCCCACACCTGTCTCCTACATTTGCTATTCGGGCAAAACATTATTTCGGTTATTTAACATTCTTTTTACTTCACCTTGGACTGTGAATAAGTAATATTAACATTCCTTTTGTGTATTCAGTAATGGAGTTTGTTTACCTATTTTATTTCAGCATATTTTGAACAAAGATCTTTGTCTCTTTCTGCTGGAATGTGCACACAGTGAATGTTTGTTAGAACTACACACAATAAAGATAGTGTTTTTCTTTTCTTGTCCTGACTACAGTTTTTTGTTTTGTTTTTGATTTTTTTTTTAAAGTAGAAGTGTTGGCACTCTAGTCCTCAGGTGTTCTGCATGAAAATAATTTGGGAAGCATGAAATTCACCTGTGTCGTGCTAGTGCTCTGCTTAGCATACCTTGATGGGTAGTTCTGTGGTTCAGGATTTGTGTCACTGCTCTTTGCTGGAAGTGAATTTCTCATTTGGTAATTGTGAGATGCAATAATCAAGGGTTTTGCCACACCAATGGATGTGAGGTGGGAACTAGGTAAGTTTTGGGGTTCTGTTTCTTCTAAAATTACCTGATAAAGAGAAGTCAATATGAGGTAATAATGTTTTATTATCTGCAATGCCAGGCTTCAAAAGATTGTTTTTCTTGGAAATAGCTTAACTGGTGGGGAAAATTAAACATGGAGGTTGAAGTTCTAGTGGCTGTATTAATTAAATGGGAAATAAGACATTTTTATAATTACTCTTGAAACATACTGATAGCCCTCTAACATTACTAACATTATATCAGATTACTAATGAGAAATGGTTCATTAGGGCTTGGCTGTTTCACTACCACAGGAATTGAGGATTAATAACAGGAAAGGAAAGCCCCATTCTTATTGCCAGCATTTGAATCTAGTGGTTAATCTTTGATGCTAATAAGAATTCATTATCACAGCACTGTTCCTGAGGCTGAGTATTTGGTAGGTTCCTGACAAATTGTAGTTGATTCATGATAACCCAAGGTGGAAGACTGCAGTTCCTATATGAAAATTTGTTAAAACTCTGGTAATTGGTTGCATAAATCTAACACTAGTTAGCTAAATAGCCATCTACATTGTATTTCAGAACTCACTCAGCAGTATTTAGCAGCATTTTATAAACAATTCTTTTATGAAGCATTTAAAGCGACTACATGAGAATGTGTTTGTTACAGTATCTGTCATTTATATGACAACTACTGGGTGCCACAGAGTGCCTTTGGTAGTTTACAAACATTTCTAATCCTTACTCTTACCTTATCCTCACCAGGCAGTTGGGGTATCCAAACTTTACTAGTGCCTCAGAGAGACATTTGATTTGCCTAAGGCCACAGAGCTGCTAAGAGTGTGGGAGTGGGGGGGAGGGGGAGGGGAGGGTTTGAATTTGGCTCTGTAGAGGTAATTGGTTTGAAATAACCCCCAGTTCTCTTGCAAAACTGCTTGTTTGTTTATTTTGGTACTAGGGATCAAACTTTGGCAAGTGCTCTACCACTGAGCTACAACCCCTTCCATATAAAACTTTTTTTTGGAGATAGTTTCACTGTAGTCCAGGCTGGCCTGGAACTTATCCTCTCACCTCAGCCTCCTGAGTACTGGGATTACAAATGTGTATCACCATGTCTGACTCAAAACAGTTTCTTGAAGCCAGTTAAGTAGGCATCTAGATTCAAATTATGTTACTAGAAGCAACTTTTGGGGAGGAGGGGCAGTACTGGGATTTGAACTCAAAGCCTTGCACTTGCTAGGCACGTGCTCCACCACTTGAGCCACACCCTAAATACTTAGAAGCAACTTTTTTTTTTCCCAACTGTTGTAACAATTTTTTGGTGGTGTTGTACTGGGGTATATTGTGACATTTACAAAAGTTCTTACAGGATAGCAGTTGAATTCACCTCCTCCATCATTCTTTATTTCCCCTTCCCCCATTCCTAGAATAGTTTCAACAGGTCTCATTTTTCCATTTTCATACATGAGTACCATATTCATCCTCCTTTCCATCTTTATATCCTTTCCCCCTCCCACTGGTAGAAGCTACTCTTACAAGAGATAGCCTATTAAGGGTTAGCGAATGAAGGGCTAGTAATAGAATCCTTGTACAGTACAATAGAGGGTCCTTTCACCCATCTAAAATCTTGAATAAGATTTAACCAAGAACTATGCAGAACAATAGAATAGTGTTTATAAGACAAGTGAAGCCAGCATGATGGTTCATACCTACAATCCTAGCACTCAAAAGAGACTGAGGTAGAAGGATCTCAAGTGCCAAAACAAACCCAAAAATGAATCTTCTCACAAACTTGCCTGCTTTGATTTATTACCTAAGAAAGCTAACTGGGATTTTATAAATAGAGATGGAATTGGGAGAGACTAATCCTTGAACAACACAGAAAAGTTAAGCATCCTAGACTTCCAGTCCTGCCCCCCTTTTTGCTTTTTTTTTCTTTAAATTTTCCCCCTAGTTCTCATCCTAACTTATCTTGCCCTCCTTATTTTGCCTATGTTTTTAGTCAGTAAAGACAAGACAGCATTTCAGCTGTGCTCTTCTTTATTTTTAAATATTGTGGTACAAGAAATTTATCCAACAGCCTGTCCTAGAAAACATTTGGAAGAAATAAAGTTAATTTGTTTATAAACTGAACTATGTGAGTTCCATTAGAACATCTCTACACCCCCATTGAAGACTACATTCTACCTCTGGACTTTTCAAGTGAGCCAATAAATTTTTTTGTCTTAAATTAGTTCAAGTTGGGTCCTGGAAATCCACAAATTCTGACTGGTATGATCTCTACACAATTTAACTGACCTTAAATGTCTTGCCTGGGGAAGGGTTCCCCTTTTCCAAGTGTTCCAACACCCCCACAGGTCAGAGCATCCATGCAAAAGTCTTAGTAGCTTTGAAAGAAGAAATATCCCTCACTTATCTGCAGGTATTTATTGTCTTAGAGTAAAATGCAGAAGCCTTTTTTGTTTTATTTTTTTATGTACTGGGGTTTGAACTCAGGGCCTTTTGCTTGTTGGCAGATGATCTACCACTTGAGCCATGCCCCCAGCTGGCAGGAACATTTTTAAGCTAACAGGTAGAAGAGGAATGACTTGTTACCAATCATTAATGAATGAGTCTCTGATGGAGCATGTGGGTGGACAGTGCAGGTGGCCCTCATGGAGGATCTAGGACTTAGAACCAGAAGCCCAACAGGTAGCAATGTGATTACATTAGTTTCCAATCTAAACTCCTAATGAAAATTGATTCCTGCCAATGAGAATGTGATTAGCCAGATAGTATGAGTGTTACTTCCGGTCTTATCAAGAAATGGGGACCCATTCCTTGGGCATGAGTAGGAGGGGATTGTAGGGAAACCAGTTACCAAGGCAGATGCTGTCATTGCATACTATGTGTATGTGTACACATATTTAAGTCTCTTCATAAACTAAAAAGTATATGGGTCCCTGGGCCTCAGTGCCCACACTGTCCTGTGCCAGAGGGAGGGCTAAGTGGATTCTGTATGGATTACTGTGAAATTACCTTGTAACGTTTAAAAATATCAATATTTTGCTCTGCCACAGATCAGTTAAGACAATCTCTGTTTCAGGGGAATCTGATGCATAGTGAGGGTTGAGAACCACACTATTCTAAAATCCTCCACAGATCGAAAACAGGTCCCATACAATAAGCCTGGTGTTGTGACATTCCCTATGATCCCAGCTATGTGGAAGATGTAAGTAGGAGGATTGTAGTCCACGGCCCAACCATTGCTCAAGTAGTAAAACGCCAGCCTAGCAAGCAAGTGTGAGGCCCTGAGTACCACCAAAACCCTCACAGTGTACAGGTAAGGAAATGTCATGGAGCTACATGTAAATAGTCCTAATGTAAAGGCTTAACCCAAGTTAGCGATGAAGAGCATGACCAAAGAAGAAGCCCATCTGAGATCACAGTGTAAGAAAGCTCAGCAAGTCCTTATTTAAAATAGAAGATTCAAGAAATAGCAGTACAAACATGTTCTTTACATGAATAGAGATAAACACCAGAAGAAACAACAAGTTGAAAGTGGAGGAGGAAAGGGACTGCTCTTTTTTTTTTTTTTAAGACACTCTTGAGCCTGACAGGATCATTAAATGCACCCCTTCTCCTCCTTCGTTCAGTTCAGATAGATGGGAGTCTGAACAGAGATTGAAATGCTCTGTTATTGTTAGAAACAAAGCTGGAGTACCTAAGCGGGTGAACTTTCCTTTATCCACCAATGAACAGCAGTTTTACCCAGGCACTGACAGGACTGGAAGACTCTTGTCTCCTGGATGGGGCCCTGCCAGGACAGACAAACAACAAGGGGGAGACAGAGGCATGGACTGAGCAAAGCTAGTTCCTTTTTACAGAATTCACAGGTCAGTTCACTTCCATGCTCCTCCATTTGGAAGCTTACAGAGTGAGAAAGAAGTCTGCCCTAGCAGGAGACTTGTAGCACTGTTTAATCTTTTGAACTATGTGCATGTGTTGTGTTGGTTAAAAATAAAAATTAAAAAAAAAAAGGAAATGCAAGATTTAGGAATGCATTGTTTGTTATTTTACTCTCTTTGTTAACATTTATCTGATATAAAGCACACTGGTCATGGTGTCAGACCTACATTGAAATTGACAATTATCTTCAATAATCCTCTCTTGTTATTAATATGAGTTCACATTTATGTAGTGCTTACAAGATGCTTTATACTCATTACCTTAACAATCTTATGAAACAAGTAGTTTTATCATTTCCAGTTTATATAAAGAGAAACTGAGGCATAAAAAAGTTATGTAATTTAGTTGGGCCCTGGTGGCTCACGCCTGTAATCCTGGCTACTTGAGAGTTTGAGATGGGGAAGATCACAGTTCAAGGCCAGTCCCAGGCAAATATGTTGCAGGACCCCCATCTCCAAAATATAAAGAGCAAAATGGACTGGAGGTATGGTTCAAGCAGGAGAGTACCTGCTTTGCAAACATGAAGCCCTGAGTTCAAACCCCAGTTCCACCCAAACAAAACTTGCCCAATGTAACAAGGTGAGTAAGTAGTGAGTCATAATCTGCATCCAGGCCATCTGGCTCTGGCAACCCTCCTTTAATCACTATGGCACTGCCTCATTTATTAAGTGCTTTGTATGCAT